ATTCAGTGCATATGTATGCCGTTCTTGTCGTTTTACTCGCGCCGCAAGTTACGAAGACAAAAGCGTAGTTTGTCGCCATCGGGGTTTTCGCCTGTAATTACCAACGAGCGGGCCGAGTATGCATGCACCAATTATTGCTGATTTATGTCTTTAAGTCACTCGATATGCCACGCTGGAGAACAGACGAGCTTTGCGTTCGCCGGTCGTTTAGCACACCGTGGATATATGGTATACCTCTGAACGAACGCATCAGTCTGTTTAAACTATGATGAGTTAGTGTGATATCAGCTTTCAAGATGGATTGTTTAGGAGAATGAATTACATTAGTATTTATTTGTTAAATTTTGACATTTTACATGAATGCTAAAATCTAACTGCATTGTTAGTTGCAGCAGAAATAAATTCACGCATTAGCAATACATTAGTATATCCTGTCCATTGTCCTGGCATATCTGAACATGCCCCTACTCCTTGTGACACAATCCCATTCTGCACTCCGTTGCAAATTAAGGGGCCTCCAGAATCACCACGAGCAGAACCAGTATTGTAGTCTCCCTTAACACAAACGGACGGAACTCCATAATGTTGTAATTCTAATATTTGAATCCATTCAAGGCAGTCTGTTATTCTTACAGTAGTAGCTTGTAGGTGGTCCGTCTGTGTGTTTTGATTTTGATTTATATTTCCCCAACCTTGAACTTGACAAATGGTTCCAACTCTTGGATTGTTATTAACACTTGGCAACCGAATGGGTTGAGCACGTTCAGAATATTGAATCGGAAGTACTAGTTCAATTAATGCAATATCGTTTAATACATAATTAGCCCCTCCCGCACCTGGTATTTTAACTTCTTGGTAATTATTGTGTATTTTAATATTTTTGATTTGGTGTGGAATGCCACGTTGAGAAAGTTTTGTCATTCCGACAACTACTTGCAGGTATTCCGGACTTTGACGATTAAAAATTACGTTTTAACACAATGTCCAGCTGTTAATATCCATGTTGGTGCTATAATTGATCCACCACAAATGTGCGTATATGTACGGGAGGATGGTATATATTGTTGCAAAGATATCTGATAGGGCGCTTGGGTAATATCAATATTGAATCCACGAAATATTTTTCTGTGTGCTATTTTAAATATTTACCAATTTAGTGGTATGAAGTGCATCAATTTAATTCTGCTTACCTTGAGAATCGCACGTCAGTACAACTACTAGTAGAATAGTACTGAGTAGTTGCGACATTTTGGAACTGTTCTAGTATCGTGGTAATGCTCCGTATTTATAGGTAAATTAAATTTGTGTTATCATAATTTATATTTTACAAAGAACACTAAAATAGCGATCATGAAGGTACGTGAATATAACATAAATATCTACTGGATTTTATGGCCAAATTGCAACAAAGTAAAACAAATAAAAAGGCAAAATTTTGTCTTTTTTGTGTCAAATGTAGTTTTCATATAAATTTGCAAATAGGTCCTAAATGCTTAATGTTAGCAAAAAAAGTAACTAAAATAATCGATGTAGAATTAAATTATCTATCAGAATATGATAACGGAATTTTAAAATTCCAATTTTTAGTTTTCAACATAAAAAAGAGAAATGTTTTGCCTTTTTTATGACGAAATCTTTTATTTCAGCAAATGCAGGTTGTGTAATAATTAGAATTTTTAAATTCTGTTTTCGGATTCTGAAAGTAGATTAAAATCTACATCGGAAACCAATAATTCATTTATAAATTATAGCTTTATTGGCATGTAAAAATGATTTTTTTATTAAAATTGCAAATAGGGCCTAAACGGTTAATGTTGGGAAAATAATTCCTTAAATAGTCGATGTAGAATTAAATTATCTTTGAGAATCTGAAAACAGAATTTAAATATTCCAATTATTGCAGAACATGGATTTGCTGAAATAAAAGATTTCGTCATAAAAAATGCAAAAGATCACTCTTTTTTATGTTGAAAATTAAAAGTTGGAATTTTTAAATTCTGTTTTCGGATTCTGGTAGATTATTTAATTCTACATCGATTATTTTAGTAACTTTTTCAGTAAACATTGATCGTTAAGGCCCTAAATACAAATTTGAATAACCAAAAAAAAAAGACAAAAAGATAAATCTTTTGTGACGAAATCTTTTTCACCAAGTGCAGCTTCTGTAATAATTGGAATTTTTAAATTCTGTTTTCGAATTCTGAATGTAGATTAAATTCTGAATCGGAAATCAGTAACACAAGTAAAGATTAAGGACCTATTGGCATGAGAAATCCAGTTTTTCTATTAAAATTGCAAATAGGGCCTAAACAGTCAATGTTATATTCTGTTTTCGGATTCTGTAAGCTAATTTTATTCTATATCGACTACTTAAGTAATTATTTGCTTAACATTATCCATAGAGGCCCTATTAATCATAACAAACTCATGGAAATCCAACAAAAATATGGCGGGAATTGTCTATGTCCACTTTCTGCGTTCCTAATATCACGAACTGATGAGCAGTTCAATTTTCGTATTTCCTCTACCAAATTTTGTTGAGAAATCCGATGAAATTCATACACAAAATCTTTTGAATATTAGGATCGCAGAATGTGCGAGTAGGCTGCTGAATTAATAATGAATCTTATTGTAACACCCTGTGGCGGCGTAATTTATTTATTCATAAACAGATGGCAGTGGTGTCAATATTTAAATAAATTATAGTAAATATTAAATTAAAAATTGATTTTAAAGTGTTTCACGGTTGTAGGAATGCACAGTTATAAGCCATGCTACGGTAGTTGCCTAAAAATACCAAATATAAAATTATATATAACGAATAAGTCCACTATTAATTTAAAATCAATTTTCAGTTTAATATTGCATCAAAATTTATTTAAATATTGCCACCGCTGCCATCTGTTTATGAGTAAATAAATTACTCGCCACTGGGTGTTACAATAAATTTCATTATTAATTCAGCAGCCTACTCGCACATTCTGCGATCCTAATATTCAAAAGATTTTGTGTATGAATTTTATCGGATTTCTCATCAAAATTTGGTCGAGGAAATACGAATATTTTTGTTGGATTTCCATGAGTTTCAATGATTAATAGGGCCTCTATGGATAATGTTAAGCAAATAATTACTTAAATAGTCGATATAGAATAAAATTAGCGTTCAGAATCCGAAAACAGAATATAACATTGAGCGTTTAGGCCCTATTTGCAATTTTAATATAAAAATTAAATTTTACATGCCAATAGGGCCTTAACCTATAATGGTGTTACTGATTTCCGATCCAGAATTTAATCTACTAGCAGAATCCAAAAACAGAATTCAAAAATTCCAATTATTACAGAAGCTGCATTTGGTGAAATAAAGATTTCATCATAAAAAAGGCAAAAGATTTCTCTTTTTTATGTTGAACATTAATAATTGGAATTTTTAAATTCTGTTTCTAGATTCTGATAGATGATTTAATTCTACATCGATTATTTAAGTACCATTTTTGTCTAACATTGACCGTTTAGGCCCTATTTGCATTAATCACGTATATTCCGTCTAATTTATAAGATTAAATGGTAATTATCTCGACAACTAAATGAGCTAGAAAAAAAATATCAACATATTCTTGATCCCTGTAAAATTCTCGACAAGATGGCATCCTAATTGAAAAATGATAAAAATGGCACAAAAAATTTTTAACATAAAGATTTTGTTATAAAAAAGGCAAAAGATTTCTCTTTTTTATGTTGAAAACTAAAAATTGGATTTTTTTAATTCTGTTTTCGGATTCTGATAGATGATTTAATTCTACATCGATTATTTTAGTAACTTTTTTTGCTAACATTAACGGTTTAGGCCCTATTTACAAATTTTAGTTCAAACTGCATTCGACATAAAAAAGAGAAATCTTTTGCCTTTTTTATAACAAAATCTTTTCGTTAAAAATTTTTTGTGCCATTTTTATCATTTTTCAATTAGGATACCATCTTGTCGAGAATTTTACAAGGATCAAGAATATGTTGTTAGTTTTTTTCTAGCTCCTTTAGTTGTCGAGATAATTACCATTTAATTAACTGTTTCGACCTGAAAAATTTTAAAAAATAAGTTCGACCCTGTTGTTCAGGAGATTATAATTTCATTAAAAAAAGTTCGACCCTGTCTTTCAGCATAAAATATTTTTGTTGACCCTATTAAGCAATATTGAACGCAAAAATCAATACAAAATAGTCATTTTGCACGGTGATTTTAGGGCATTTCCAAAGGGTTTCAAGAGTCGTAAAAATACTCATCTTAAAGAGGAACTCTTTAACTATTATAAGATGGTGAGATAGTCCAAATTGCTTTATTAGTTCCGGAAATATAGGGTGTTTTTTACAGCCACTTTTAGAAATTTTAAAAATAACCAATTTTTGACGGCTATTTGAAGGCACTTCCCGAGGGTCTAGAAGGTCGACAAAGTAGCCATCCTATAAAGGGCCTTTTTATCTAATATATGCCGTTAAGATCATCCAAATTGCTTCATTGGTACCGGAAATATAGGGTGTTTTTCACGGCCACTTTTAGAAATGTTAGAAATAGCCAATTTTTGACGGCCATTTTAGGGCACTTCCGAAGGACTTACAAGATCGGAAAGGTAGCCATCTTATAAAGGGCCTCTTTATCTATTATATGCCGCAGAGGTAATCTAAATTGCTTCATTGGTTCCGGAAATATAGGGTGTTTTTCACGTCAACTTTTGGAAATTTTAAAAATAGCCAATTTTTTACGGCCATTTTAGGGCACTTCCGGAGGACCTAGAGGGTCAGCAAGGTAGCCATCTTATAAAGGGCCTCTTTATCTATTATATGCCGGTAAGATAATACATATTGCTATATCGGTTTCAGAAATATAGGGTGTTTTTCACGGCAACTTTTCGAAATTTGACGACCATTTTGGGGCCCTTCTGAAAGGCATAGAAGATCGGGATCGGGAAGGTAAAAAACTCAGCTTCTTCACGAATCTTATCACATTGGTTTCAGTTGCTTTATTTGCATAGATAATTACGATTCATAATACAATAACTCATTTTAATTTCATTATTAAATATATAAATATATAATTTCTGCCAGGTTTAATTTCCGTGTCTGCAATCGATACAATTACGTATCTCATCATTAAGAAAATGAAAAACTCCACTATACACACTCAGAACTAAAGAATATAAAGCACTTTTTTATAGGAGTATATAATACATCGTGTCTAGTATAAAAATTTACGACTTCCGCGTAGCCCACAGCGGGTCTAACTCGCTAAAAGGATCCACCACAACCGTCTTCTTTACCATCTCATCAGCCTTATCATTATCACACTTTATGAATCCTGCAAAAGAAAAACAAATTATTTAGTAATTAACCAAGAACGAACAAAAGAGTTAAGATGTTAATTACGTGTTAAAAAATTTAATTAAATTTTCTACATGATAAAACTTCTACGTACCCTTTCGCACGGTTTGTAAATGCTGCAACAATGTCGTGTAAACGAATTTCAAATGCTCGCGATCTCGCAGGACATTTTTCCGAGCGCAGGAAATTTTGGCCGCAATTGCAGGAATGTCAGGAAGTGGGCACGCGACAGCAGCAAACTCCATTAGCCCGGCGAGCAGCGCCGCACAAATTCCCGTCCTGCCAACGCCGGCCAAACAATGCACCAACACCGGATTGCCAATACATTTTTGTTTTTCATAGTTCTTCACCACCAGCTGCAGGAAGTCGATGAATGGTGTCGCATTCGTTGGAAACAAGCTGAAATTCCAAAGCGTTTATGAACATGATAACACGTTTTCCCAATTCGGTTCGATATTTACGACGCTCCGACAACACACACACACTGCATGTTTGAACAAAGAAAATTCAATTACCTTCCCGGCCACGCCGTATACTGAAATATGTTTATTAATCGGCTCTCCTTCTCGTCGGAGATCGTCAGCTTATGCTCGGTGAAGTGTTCGTTGGCGGAGCTATGCGCGAGGATCACGCGCCGCGTGACGTTCAGGTCCTTGCCGGGCTCCGCGGGCCAATAACATCCCTCGTTTATCTAAAGAACACACCAAAAACGCAACTTGGTTAAGCGCATGTTTGCGTAATCCGCGAAAAAACAGCGTCGAGTTTGATTAATACTAATACCATCAACATGTGTGCTGGTAAACTCACCTCGTTATCGGCTAGCAGGCAAACAACGGTCTCGATCTGCTGCTCCCACACCATGTTCCAAAACTCTTGCACCGTGTGTGCGAGCGGTAATTGCGTGAGCACAAAATCCATGCAGTACGGGCCCACGCTCACGTGCGACGCATTGATGTAATCATCTTTTGTGTTCACAAGCGCCACGCGGCTGTGATCGTAGGGCAGAATGTCGGGACTGCGATTCTTAAGCGGATAGCAACGAGCCACCGAAATGCTCTTTTTCGTCGCCTCCATGTTTTCCTGGCTTTCCTGAATCTCCTTCCAACGCAGCTCCAAATTACTCGGACCGCTTAGTGTTTTTATTGATAAGTCACCGACATATTTTTCAAACTTTTCCACCTCCGCCAGAAACTGCTCCACGGTCATAGGGTTTTTAAGTGGGTCGCCTTTCAAAAGAATTTTGTTTTTCTTTTTGACCGGAGCGGGGATTGCATTAGACCCTACCGATTCGATTTTCTTCGGGGGTGTTTGTGTTTCAATCACGTCCGCTTTCGGAGGCTCCTTCTGTTTTTGTTGTTGTGGGACTTGCGGGATGAGAGGCGCTTGATTTATCGAAAAGTCCAAACCTGCCAAGAGGTCAATACTGCTCTCCTTTTTAGGTGCAGGCTGTATTGCAGGCAACTGTGATGTCTCTGTACTGGATGCAACATTCGCCGTTGTCACTGGAGTAGCAGTAGGTGTTGGATATTGATAAGCAGCGACGCTCGGACTAGCGCCAACAGTCGCGGTATAATCATAGACTCCATTAGTGTACTGATTGTTGTAGTTGTATCCGGGCGCATTGTATCCGTAATCGGTGCCAGTTGCGGGTGTTTGATACATGTAATTAACACCACCCGCTAACGAAGGTGTCGTCGCGGCTGGCGCCACCCCCACTCCTACATTGCTAGGATATTGATAACTCGTGCTGTTATACTGCTGATTGCTCGCATAACTTTGATTTGGCGGCGGGTAACTCGCGTTGTCCGGTACTGCGGACGCAGTAGGGGGAGCATAGGGATAGTATGTCCCATAAGAATTCGCCCCTGCAGCAGGGGGTGGTGGTGTGGGTGTCGGCGTCGCCTGTGGTGTTTGCTGCGTCGGTGGTGGCGTAGAATTCGCGGCATATGGTGAATTCGGCAAGTTTTGATTGTAGTTCGCTTTTGCCAAGGCTGTTCTAACGCTTGACCTGCTCCTGCTACATTCCCAGTAGTTCCGTACATCGGTGATGAAGGGTATTGCATTTGTGGTCCCAAAACATCATTTTTTACCCTTTGCTCTTTAAAGTCTTTCCTTGTGTCTAGGTAATCTTTAAGTTTCGGTTTTGATGGTTGCTGAATATTCACATTGTTCAAAGCATTATGTTGCATGTTAATATTGTTTGTGTTTGACTGTGCTACCACACTAGTTGCATTATTCATTTCCGGTGCAGGTGCTTGCGGAACAGGTTCGGGCTGTGAATGTTGCTTGGAATGTCCGTTCTTAATCAACATCTGATCACGTTCTTCCTGCTGCACATTACAGGCGCTCTTAATTCTTCCCAATAACTTTGAAACATTACTTTCTAGCTTTGAATAGAACTCAATACCTTTATTAGCTTTCAAAATTAAATCATCGTAAGTGTCGTGGGAACTTATAAGTGCAGATAAAGTAGTGTTCCGTTTGTGAAACAAATCCTGAAGATATTTACGCGTTGGCGTAAACTTTGCATACATTTCAACCAATGCTTTACAGATATTTTCTTGAGCCAATAGGTTTTGATCAATCACAGCAGTTACTTTACTATGTTTGTCTAAAGCCTGTTGGAAAACCTCATCCAAAGACTGATCAGCTTGTTTTGTAACAATCGCTCCAGTAATGTCATCACTGTGAATAGCTTCTCTAAATTGATTCCACAGCATCATTCGCTGGTTCTTCATTTCGTCCACTTTAGACATCAAGCCTTCAATTGACTCTAAAATGGTCTCGTCCACATTCGGATCGGGGAGATTCAAAGTTGGGACGATTTGCACCAACTGATTCAACGGCTGCGCTAACAATTTAATATTTGCCGCATGCGTCGTCATTGCTTTATGAAGATTCATGTTGGATTCCGATGCTTTACCATGCGCTTCTTGATATTTCGCACTTTCCCGAGCTAAATCCGTGGCGATGATACTCGGAGGTCGCTTACCCATAATTTGTTGATACTCCTTTTCGGATTCCTCTTCGACTTTCAGCATCTCCTGAATTTCTTGCAACATTGCTTCCACCTCCTGGTACGAATTTGAAAGCTTACCCATTGCCTCAACTAATTCCTTGGTCGCATTCGGCCGTGCGACCATAGAAGCTGCCCGATCGACTAATTCCTGTGGTAAACCCTTAGCAGACTTGACGAATCCAAGAACCTCGAGCTGCATTGAATTTAAAAAGTCACAGAGTTCCATGTCTTTCTGTTCCACTCTTTCGCCAACATTACGCAACAACTGAGCCTTTTTCTCGCTGTACAACGAAGAAGCTTCGTGAGCCTCCATTGGTACCAGACGGCCAAAAATATCACTTCCTGCTACTTCAGGATCATGCACATTGAAAGGAATACCTTTCACGAGTGAGGCACCTTTTATTTCTTGTAAAGATGCAAGGTGAGGAACATCTTCGTGATAGATAAACTCGTTTTCGTTGACAGCCGCCTTGTGTTTGCCCTTCACCACATCCAACGTAAAAGCGATTGTGTCCTTGAATAAAACCTGTGATGAAGAACACATTTTCGAGGCGTGCTTTACAGCCTCATCCAACATATCAACAGCAGCCTGATAAAACGCAACACGCTCACCCATCTTCTGCTGCTCTTCGGCTTGTTGACCTTGATATAACAAAGCTATACATCGGTGATAATCAATTTTGAATTGTAAATATTGCGCAAGGTATTTATGATTGGGAAAGTGTTCAAGAACCAGACAATCATCACCGCTTTGGAAAGAGACACCAGCGTGTTTGTAATACTCGCAAAGTTGAACCGCAATTTTAGCGATAATTGTCGGTTTGCGATTGTCCAAGAGAGATTTTTCTAAGATGCACTCTTGTGCTTGAGCCAAACACATTAATTGCATTGCACGAATCTGCTCGGAAGAAATCATTATCAAACCAATTAGTTGACCGTAAGTTTCGCGGACTGTCTGAAAAGCCCACGCGGCGCATTGGAAATGCGTGCAGGACATCTTCATTCCTTCAGGCGTTGTTCTTGTATCTTCTGCGCCCAGTTTGGAGTGTATACAACCAATATTGATCAGCATACACATCAGCTCAAAGTTTACATCGGGCATATTACAAGACATTTTCGTGTAATCATCTTTCCTGTAAGAAAAATAAAGATAAAAACATGTAAAGTTAAGTTTTCTTTAATTTTTTTGATTGTTTATTTATGCCAAGTTCCTAATTATGAAAATTATGAATGTTTGAGAGTTATTGATGAAAGAAATCAATAAAGAAACTCATGTAACATTGATCAAATTGAATTAATGGAATGTCCACCACTTACCAAGCAAAAAACACTGATGAAATTTGATTCTCCTCCATGGGGAATCTGGATTTCAAAAAATGCAGCTGGCAATAGTACTTCTTCATAATCTGGCAACTGTTGATGTCAATTGATGGCCACACAGCCTGAGCTCTAAGTCCCTCAAGTGTTCTAATTTCATTATTATAACTCTCTGGGTCCTCTTGATAGAAACTTGCAATATACTATAATAAAACAATCACACTTATCAGTATGCACATTCTTATGCAATATAAGACAATACAAATAGTTCTAACCATAAACAAAGCTTACCAGTTTCAATTTCTGAGCAAATGACACTTTTTCCGACGTAGACAGCAGCTCAAAGCTGACCATAGGCAGACGAGGCAAGGCTTCCATGGTGGATAACTACACTTGATGACTCAATTTGTTTATGCGTAAATCCAATTAATACAATAATTAAATGACAGCGCACTGTCGCAAACAAAACAGTTAGGTCGATGTTTGACAAAGTTCAACTTGGAAACTGTGCGGCACTAATCACACGGCATTGTTGTACAGTATACACGCATTTTTCCAATGTAAATCACGTTCATTGTTGTACAGTTGTGGAGAAAATTGTTATTGTTATCACTATGCAGACGAAGCGCACTAAATAACGGTTGTATATCAGAATCGTCGGTGTTTTCCGCTCGTGACAAGTTCTGATTTGGGTTTGTCATTCCTGAGCCACTACCAATGGCTTCTTGCACTGTCAGTGTCATAATTCTGTTGCATTTTTGAAAAGCTTTTACAGTATGCCGATAGGTGGTGCTAGGGGTACTACAAATTGTTTAAAATTCTTATTTAAAGTGTAAACATTTTTTTGTGTTATTTTCATACAAAAAAATAAATACAATACACTAAGATATATTCCAGCTACAAAAACAATTCAGAACAGTAAAAATTTTAATTTTGTATTAGTTTATTTAATATTTTTGTAAAATATTTAAATAAACCTCAAAAATTATTCTTTATTGATGTTAAAATTATATTTCCGGTTAAATAAATTTATTATTCCGTCATTTTTGGCCCTGGGTAAAAAAAAGCAACAGCTTAGGAGGCTTTATTAGCAAGATGATGTGCGCATTGTTTCATACAGGTTTTTCTGACCTGAATAAAACTATAGGGTGCTTTGAATAGCATCCAGAATGCGTGTGCACTTCGAGTCCCACTTGCGCAAACCAGTTTGTCGAGCTTTCAGTGCTCGGTTGATAACATCCTCTATCGGTCCCGAAAGCTGCGCCGTGCAGTGCGCGCCGCGCGCGTCCTTTTCGCCTTTCGCTTCCCTATCCTTCGCGGCGCGAATGCGCCGGCACCACCGGAAAGCCAGCCCTCTGGTGTGCGCGCAAGAAAATCAACCCCTCGCTCAGTTACCTTGTGTTGCCGGTAGTTGCAATCCACCGTGCAGCGTAAAACGACTGAACCGTGCCGTCGAGCCGAGCCGAGAATACCAAAATTCAATTTCCACCGGCGAAACAAACACAAATTTGCGTTTCGAGGCGCCTGTCATTGATTATTCCCGATGACGAGAATGCATCGCGACGGCATAGTTCAGTAAAAGCAACAACCAAAACACACACACACGAAGAACAAGAAGAAGCAAAAAAAACTACGAATCGATTGTGAACACGACACGCGGCACCACCTAAACAAGTAAATAAAAACAAGCCGCCAAGGAGAGAAGTTTGAAGTTTTATGTGATATTTGTGATATGCTGGCAAAGTGTGAGATTATCAGAACCTTACAGTACAACAAACCCGACGAGTACCTGAACCACCTGAACAATCCTAAGTTTATTTAGCAATTTTAACCAAAAACGCGCACGGTGATCGAAGATTTCTTCATTTTTGGTGATAAGAGATGCAACAAGACACGACCGACAACCCGGCGTGGTTGGCAACGCTTGCATAATTTGGTAACTGAGCAGTTTCGCAAAGGAACTGGGCTGGACGCTGGACGATTGGCACGGCAACTACTCAAAGGACATCAAACAGGTGAGCGCTTCCTTTGTGTACAACCTTACATAATATATTACATCAATCTTTTGATTTATCAGTGTTTTTATTGAATATTTGCATGAAAAAAATGCAATTTTTCGAAATTTTAAATTGAAAGCTGTAAAACGCAGCACATGAACATGAACGAATCATAATTAGACCTCTGGAGCCTGTAAACTTCACTGCCAACTCCTCGAAAGTAGTAAAAACAAAGGCGATATTTGTTTATTGCTTAATCGATATGAATCCGAATAGTAAAAGCCTCGACGGCTTGCTCGGGGAGAGTTTGTTACGGCATGGCGCTCGGCGCACATCTCGGGGTGTTTTTAATAGTGCAATAATCGCGACGTTTTAAGGGCCGAAGCGAGGCGAGCGCGAGCGCGAAACGCTTGTGTGCGTTTTATGCGTGCGTACTTTATGCGAAAGTCGATATCGCGTCGTGTGCAGCTCTCTCTCGGCGGCGCCTGCACGTGTGAGTGCAAGCACCGCGCGCAGGAAATAGAGCAGGGTTGCAGGGCAGAAGTAGGACGAGAGGGTTTCACTTTCCATTGTGCGCCAGCCCCGCACGTGCGTTCGACAAGAACAACCGGCGGCGGTTGGACGAAGAGAGCGCGTGCAGCGGCGATGCGGCGGTGGCAGCGGCGTTGCGGGCGGCATGCAATCGAACGCACGGCGTGGTGGAGGCGCCGTGAGGCCAGCATAAGGGAAAAGGGTGCAGCGTTTTCAAAACGTAAAAAATTACAATCTCCAATAAACATTTTAAAAATAAATTAATTATGTTTGATTTACTCGTACTCGGGAAATAATTTAATAAATTTTTTAATATATTTTAAATTGAGCGGCATTGTTCGGCGCAGAGTGAATTAACACAAAGGAAACGACAAACGATAAACACACATTGAAGTTGAACAGCTATAGGGTACGAATTCGAGCATCTGAAGGTAAAGAACGAGGAGAGCGCACTTTGTGCGTTTGTGCGACCCGTCGTCTCCTTTCGCTCATTATTATATTACACGGTGCGCGCAAATGCACTTGCTCCAACGAACAAAGAGCATTGTGCGCCCTTTCCGTAGCGAGCGCAGGACGCGCCGCGGCCGTCGGCGGCGTGTGCGTGTGCTCCTGCTCCTGCCCCACACGTACGTGTGCTTCCGTTCAGTTTTGGCGATCAATAAATAGTCCTAATCACCGGCGTAAAACTGTACACTGCGTTCAGTACCTACGCACGAGTATCTTCCGCGCCGCGACATAATTACACCTTGCACACATATATCAACCGGGATTTATCTTTATTATCCTCTACGTACGCGGACAGGAAGCGCCGATGCCGAATGTTTACGCGCTTGATAGTGCGATAGTTACCAAACAGAGTTAAGAGTTGTACACATATTCTATTCGAATGTTAATGCCGCTCGGGATTTATTACTCCGACGGACATAATTCACTTTGTATCGAGGGGCGGCTTCCTTTTCCATTCGCTCGTTATAAATTTATTATTTGTGTTCGGGAACAGTTGTTCAACTAGCGCGACCATGAAACTTTATAGTGCGCGGAAGCGGATGAAATGTATACCTCGCTGATTGCGGCGTATTATTAGTTTTGTTACAATTTCCCAAACTAGTTTTTCCATCGGCGCGCTAAATGAATAAACGAATATATAATAGGCGAGGCGATGCTGGGCATAAATTACGCGTGGTCGAATAGAAGAAAAAAACGAAGTGAAAACGACCTAGTTACGCGTCAATAGTGGAAGCAACACGACGCGGACACGACCATGGCAACCCGACCCTCTTCTGGTTTGCTTATTAGGTCACTGCATTCATTTTTAAACGGGCCACACGCATGCGACACACACACTCACACACAAATACTGAGGACCTCGAAAGACGATGGGAAGGGGCGCGCTAAACGCCCGGGCTATTCTTTAACCTCCATTATTTGATGGTGCTTTGCGCATTGTTCAAGAGCAGCGGAAGAAAAACACACGACCTTGGAACATTTACACATAAACATATATCTTTTAAAAATATTTATATTTAAATAATTTACGCACCGTATTTGCAATTCGTGATATGATTTCATAATGACATCCTCGCTTTTTGCTCTTCTACCCCCAAAAGGAGAGGAGTAGATGAGTGCAAATAGGATGCCGAAAATTGCGACGTTTTTCCCATATTGCGCGTCGCTTCGCATTTCTGTTTCGCATTTAGCAAAGTTTCCCCTATTTATAGTTGTCTCCTCTTCCCATCCCGCCCGCCATTCATCTTCGCAGGAGCGTATAGTCTCTTCGACGTCGTCGTCGATCCTAGTGTTGACTCTTTGACTGCTTACACCCGGATGGAAGCAGGCGCAGAGGAGGAGCAGGGGTGCGCTGCGTGCTTTTCCTCATCCGCGAAGCATTAGCGTACCTTCCGAACGTATCAACCAGCAGGGGCAAGGTGGTGTGTTGTGTGTACCTACATACATCCACGCAGCAATCGACTTATGTGCACTGAACGAGAAGAAGAGACGCCGTGATTCCCGTTTTCTGCAAACGTCAAGTGTAATCCAAGTTGTTATTCGCTGAGTAATTCAAATCGTCGGCGTCGTTTTCCATTCCCTCTTGTTTCTTCTCGGTGTCGAAGAGCGTCGAAACGCTTTCTGCAGCTTTAGATATATACGAGAATCAGGATGTGAAATACGGAAGAGTAGTGTACGCCTGTGAGTATCGTTTGCTTATTCTCATCCTCTCGCACTTCTAGTGCTCTCATAGTTTTCGGCATGTGTGCGTCGTCATTTAGAGCAATAAGAGGCAAGCAATGCGAGCCGGAGACATTTTGCCACGTCTAAAACACTAAAGAGGATATCTGAAAGGCCATCCCAGTCTTCGGAACTCAAACCAAGGCAGAGGGAATAAAGATTCGACTAATGTAACGGTTCGCCGGTGGCGGTGCGACACAACACACACACACATACAGATACATAGCACCACATCCGACACTAGCTAGCGCTTTGCGTTAGGCCGGGCACATCACTTTAAATAAATAAATAGAATCATTTATTCAAACGGCCCTCGCAACCGTAACCGCCCCATCGGCGGCGGTGGAAAAGCTACGCGTATAATTTTAGCCGCGCTGCTCGATATCTATCGGACTTGCATAGAATATGCGTGAGGGAGCGGCGAGCATCACTAAATGGAACTAAATTGATAAAGCGTGCGTGTATGCATTCGTTTTCAATTCAAACACCGCCGCTGCCGCCGAATGCTCATGAGCTTGTTATGCACACTTGTATGAGTTTTGTGTGGGTGTATGCGCGCATCGAAAAGGGTTGATTTCTATTGTTGCCCTCGCCGGACCGCAAAATCCAAATTACGGCGGGCCGACTCGTCGAGGGCTAACCAGGGCTAACCATTCACCATGTAAATTTCATCTGTCCACCGGCAATACATTATCGAATAGGCTGGGATTTTTTTTCCGCCGTGGGTTTATCAGCGCTCGTTCGCTCGCGGTGCGTGAAGAGCACGGGGATTAAAACAAAAGCCCACATCATCGAATGAGGAATCATTGATTTTTTTTTCACTGCATATTTTTTGTATATTTGCCAAATTTATCGCGCGAGCAGACTGGCGAGGTTGTACCGAATACGATTTTTGGAATTTTCGACTTTGGCGGCGGCCCGGGCACGCCGGGAGAATAAAGTAATAAAGCAAAGAAGTAACAAGTGTTGCGAAATTTGTTAAGGTGAAAAACGACATGAAATAGAATTTGTGAGCGGCGCGCACGGATTTGCAATGTATTAGCATTGCGCTAATCCGCTTTTATCAGGTTAAAGATTAGTGCGCGGGCATTAAAAAGGGTGGAAATGAGATTTAGCGACTTTGATTAAATGCGCGGAATTTCTATTTCGTGTTTACGGTGTCAGACTCGTTTTTAGATATTTTATATATGCATTCGAATATGTTTCGCCTACGAACGTAAAATACGCACGCCTCGCTCATGTTACGTACAAAAAGGGTTGTGCGTTGCGTTGCAGAAAATCAATTCCGCCACGCCGCCCCAGACAGCCACCCCTCGCACACCAAAAGCAGGCGCTCGAAATGCGTATTTGAATGCGTCGCATGGCGTGATGTACGATGGCAGGCGGGCGGGCGGACGGGCGGGCGCCACCGCCACCGTCGACGAATGGAGGGAAATGGTGAAAACTGAAAATGCACCTGATTTGGCAGCCACCCTGCGTCGACGTCATGCCATGCCATGCGACTCCGAACAAAGAGCATTGTGAGCCTGTGCCCGCCCGTCCTGTGTGCCTGTGTGCCTGCGCTGCTGCTGGTGCACGATCAATAAGTAGGTTTAATCAACGTCCTCTAACAATGCCGTTTTATGTTATGCGTGTGCGATGCCATCGCGCGCTTGCATGCCAAGCGAAAGTGAAAACTTCGGACGACGGCGCACATATGCCACTGCTATATATATACATTTGTTGCGGTGTGTGCGCTTCTGGCCTGGAAAAACAATGTGCTGTCATAAACGCGTGTATCTATAGTTTGGTGGAGGCGCCGGTCGCGTGCAAAAATAGCCGCCGGGCGCCGAATTCTCACTAGCTTCGTGCATATTTAAAGAGCACTAAAAGGGAAAGTGATATTTTCATTACCCCACCACTCCTGACGAGCGCACCCACCTGTCCATCTATCTACATCCTTCTGTGCTTATTTTTGTTTCCAAAAAAAGAAAAAAAACTTACTAAGCTTCCGCGCGCGCGCGCGCCAGCAGAAAAATAGACGCACATAAAAACTTAATTTCTTTATGTATTTTATGTACTTGTAATACGCTGCGTTTGCTTTTCTTTTATTCTCTTCGTGAATACCGTCTTCGTTTTTGTGCACGCGCCCGCGTTCATTTTTAATGTCTGAATGTAACGTCTCGAATATTTTTCTTTGCGCGCTCGTCCTGATCCCGCCAGCCAGCCAGCAAGGTTGAGGGCATTTATTCTCGCGTCCTGTGCGCTTCGCTTATGTGTGCACGCACATAATAGCCAGCGACGCGCGCGGTACGTCTAAAAATATGATGTTTATAGAAATTGCGTGCGAAAGCGAAAGCGCATGAAAGCAAAACATCCACCATACAAACACAAGCAAAAGAAAGAGAAAGTGCACACACCGCGCCGATTCAGAATTCAGTCGTCGACGAATGTGAAAAGGAAAGGGAAATTATGTTTGGCGCGCTCAAAGAAGGACAGAAAAAGAAAAATTCAGCGCCGTGTTGAATCTGTTTCGATTATGTCCGTGTGAAAGCATGACGGGGGTGTTGGTATACTTGTGTGTAGGTGAGGCGCGCATAAAAGAGGGAAACCCTTCAGAAACAAAGCGATACACGCGCGCGCGCGCCACACTGAAAAGTCTCGCGCGCTGGAACAAATTAAAGAGTGTCCCAGGTTAGGGTAAAAAATACGCGCCGTCGATTTTCTACCTTCGCAGACTTTTTTTTGAAAGCGAAATGCCTGAGACTGATACCTAATTATCGCTTTTTATTATTTACCACCCCCAAAAATCATTTTCAGGCATTTTTACGATTTCATTATTAGTTTCTTCATTTCCTCGCCCCTCATAGGAAAATAAACCAACTATAGTTATCTATGCTTATAGAGTAAACACGAGTTCTACGAATAGCTCGCTTCTTTCTTCGTTCGTTCGCAGAATGTTCGCGCCGATAACTCAAATATTTGTTGCTCGGATGATTTATGGTAAACATTCCGAGGGTTGCCTGGTAGGTAGGCAGCGCGCGAAAATATGGAAATAGTTTTCGGGCAGCGCACACGCGCGCACCCTAATTAGCTCGGGAATTTGTTTATTTGAGGCGTGCTGCTCGCTTGTTGCTCCTAGCTAGACTAGATATACGATTCCCGTCGAATTACAGCTTTGCGCTCATGTTACATTGTATAGTCTTTAGTAAAACTAGCGCGGCTCAGGTACGTTTTGTTACTTAGTTAAGAGCAGCAGAGGAGTGGCGGTGTTCTCTTTTCGGGTTTCAACCCACAAGTTTACAGTTCGTCTGTAATGAAGATACCTTATAAATACTCCGGCAAATTCCCGTGCAAGTTGAATATATACATCCAACTAGTTGTTTTGCTTTGCCGAAGCCGGAGCGTCGTGTTCGTTACTACCTGTAACATCAGAACAAGCTGAATGTTACGTTAAGGTTTTGCAATTATTTGGCTTTATCTTTGATGTGCGCGCGAGCGAGCATGTGTGTGCAAAGACTAAAGTTTCCATGGAAGTTGTCGGCGGTGGCGGCGGGGCGAGCGATGTTATGAAGTATGAAGAGAATCAAGTGACTGCCTTCTCCAGGTACATCAGGTACATGGGCATTAGGCGTAATAATGAGCGGTGGGTGGTGGCGTAGCGATATTTCCTGGCAACCCGGCATCGACCCTGTGTGTGCGTGGTGTGTATGTATAGGAGGGCAGTCGAAGGACGCGCGGGGGCGAGCTGGCCACGGCATGGCGGGCAGGGTGGGGGTCGCGCCGCGACGCCGCCGCCGCCGCCGGGCTGCAGGAGCGAGTGCAAGGTGTCTGCGCGACGACTCGCCGCCGCTGCCGCCGCCGCCGCCCGCCTCTGCTCGACGAGGCCAAGGCCTACCTCCGCTTTCTCTCTTTCCTCCGGTTGCCATCGCGCCGCACCGCGTCCTTGCAGCTCGCAGGCCCAATATTTCGCATTAACAAACTGTAGCAACGCGCTGCGCCCACGAATTGCTGGTATATATTCGATGCGTGCGGAATTCTCAGTGGAAATTTTCTAATTTACATCCCTCGCCAAGTACAAGGACAACACACTATATTAATACATTTCCTAACTCATCCATTCACAATGCGTGTGTGCGTGTGTAACTAAATTCAAAACTGTCGCCCATCGCACGTTGAAAGCTCGCAGCAACTTGAACAAACACGAAACTATACCAAAACTAATCCAATTTCCATCTGTGTCCCATTTGCAACCGATTCCAATAGAATAACACCCTATTATGTTATGTGTATGACGCCTATCTTTCAATTAAATCTTATTAAACTTTTTTCTTCAGTGAATTTCTTTCGTTGTATCGTTTGAGTGAAAAGTCACTTTGCAATGAGCCGCGCAGAAACTTTCTTAATATGAACGTCACGTCCTGCTCATATTTGTAGCGCTTCCACGACGGCGCGCAAATTATTTTAATTTCAATAAGGCTGCGCCGCGCGCGCGTCGCCGGTTTAATTATAAAAGTTGCCACCAGCATCAGTACAACACACACACACTGCACATCTCGTGTATATAGAGTTACTCCTGACACGCGATTCCTTACCTTCCTGCCTTCTTCTTCGCCTCATCCTTTTGCTCATCTCGGTCGGCGTATAGATACGGAGTTATCGCTTTGTTGTCACGTTGTTATTCAAATATGCAATTATTACATTGCCCGCGTCGCCGGCGAGGAAAATTTAATATTGGCGAATATGCGCCAGAGCAAAGGGGATGAATATTTAGCGCGAGATTCGCGTGAGTGGCGTGAACGGCACCACGTCATGCGCCTCCACCCCGCGCGCGCGAGCAATATCCATTCTTAATTAACGCCGGCTTAAGATATACATTTTTTAGCGTCATCGTCGTGCCCTGCGATTATTATTTTCTTATGATGTTTAAGCGTTTTTAATTAGGCTTCCTCTCGCAGAGTAAGAAGAAAAAAACCGGGTGCAAAAAAAAAAACGAACGCACGAAGTCAGCATCCGGCGGAGGCGCCGGGCAGGAAAGCAGCGCCGAGCGCTTTCTTTCTGTAAGCGAATTTAATTAAAGTAATAACGCGGACCGGCGGGCGGCGGCTTGCTTTTCTTCGCCGCCATCCCTTAGTGGGTGTTAGTAGGAGTCTATATACCTAGAGCGCTTTTCTATATGACTTACTTTGTTATGCCTTTGCGAAATTGTTTAAACTTTAATAAACGCGCGCCGCGCGCTAATTATTCGACGATAATGAAGACTCTAATTAAGCATTTTCGGCATATTAATACTAGCTACCTCCGGCGTGCGTCGAGCCTGACGCAGTTCGCAACTAAGCAACTAATATATCTCATCTTTGTGGTGAAATATCTGCCTTTAGCCTCTTCCTCTTCTCTTCTCCGTATGCTCACTTTCAGCCGCATCAGCAACAGCCTACGCACAATCGCGTTTTTAGTTTCTAGTTTGCCGCTCAATTCAAGGTTTTAGCTAGTTTGCACGCGTATTAATTAATTAATTTCTGCTGACGCGTGCATACTTTCGCCAGCGGCCCGAGGCTTTTCATTTGTTCCAATACAAATATCGGCGCGAATCACACAAGACACAAAGTGACAGCCCGTGTTGGATAAAGGTAGCCAGGTTAGTGGGATATCACGAAAATCCCCACTTAGCTGGATGACAGCCCTTCGCGTGCCGTCAGGATGCGTTATGGCGTCACCTCTAACTTTTTTTCCACCCAAAAAATAAGGTCACATCTAGCGAGCAAAATTTTAATTATTTCTGCTCTTATCATAAAAATAATAAATGGTTTGGAAGTAATATTCACTTAAAAAAGCAAATGCATTAAACTAAAAAAATCTTGGAGTTTGTGTGTGTGTGTGGGAGAATTAAAAAGTTTCGGCTTTTAAAATTCATTCATCAAGCACTTTGCCGTCGGCATACTCTAGTCCCAGATGAGAAAAACTCTCATTGGAAGTAATTACTCCCCATTCGACACTTTTATCACACAAAAACTTTCACCAAACGCGCGCGGTGCAATCCAACACAAAAAAAAAACAAATTCAAAACGGTGATAAATTAATTAAAACGCGTAAATAAATTACTTCCGACGCATTGTAGATTTGATTTGAGGTGTGCGCGCGTGATGGTCTTAATAAAAATTTTATTCATCCAGAGCGCAATACTTAATTACTTTGCGCGTCGCGCGAATATTAATTTTTGTCCCCTGCTTTTGTTTCAGGAGTATAACAAGCGGATTGATTTCGTTCGTATGCGGAGAGTCGATTTTCTAATCCGGCGTGGAGAGATTATGTGAAGGCCGCTTATAAGGTAAGGATTTATTATTTTTACTCAAGTCGGATATTGCTCCGACGCGGGGAAGTTTTTCCGCTTTGTTTCTTGTCTCGCTGTGCCATCTCGAGTGCGTTCCAAGTTATAACCGAGCCGGCTAACCTTTCATGCCGTCATATCTATATCATTTTTGGAAGAGAAGAAGAAGCGGCACGCGCGTATCACGGCGCATCACATACGCGGAATGTATAAAATAAAAACAGCGCAGAGGGAGCCGAAAATCCAATTCGCTTAAATGAATTTGATCGTTCATTCGTTCGGGGCACGGTGTGTGTCGTCGTCGTGTGCAGAGCGCAACCTGTTTTCCGGTTGCTGCCGCCGTCAACAAAGCGATGCCAAAGTAATAAAGTAACCGGCAAAAGTGGTTTTAATAAAATAATTGATAGGATTAATTTGCTCACTCGCGGCACGGCGGCGGAGAAATGAACGATGTGGGCTTTCACGTGCGTTCGCTGAAATTACATAAGTTAAATAAGTTTGATTGGGTGGTTTAATACACATAATTATATATGGGATCAAGTTGGTGTGGATTAAGGCATTAAATGAAAAGATTTATTTCAGTGCAAAAGTAATTACACATTTTTTTCTGTTTTTCTATAAAAATTAATTAATATTGATCAGGCTATTATAATGTATACACATATCCCTACTAATATTATTTATAAATGCTCAAGTCCTGATGTTTGTTACACTTTCACGCAAAAACTACTTAACCGATCATCATGAAAATTTGTACACATATTCTTAGTGGTCCCCGAATGGTTATAGGCTACTTTTTATTTAATAAAAAAAATATTTATTAAATAAAATAAAGAAATTGTTTAGCCAATAATACCTCTGCATCTGGCTATTTGACTACTTTAACGCCATCTAGCATTCCAGCAATGAAGCTCAAACCTAAGTACTATAGTACCATCACACTGTATTATCACACTGTATTACCGACAGCTACGTCAACATCAAATCCAATTGACTACACTATGGAGACTGTACACTATACTTCCATAGACTATACTTTCAGCCATTTTAAACTTCCCGCCATTCTACTTCATTGTTACTTCTTCTGAGACTACAGACGCGTACGGAAGCAACTTCATTATTTTGGATATTCGCGAGCGAAGCCGCGGATTAAAGCTAGTACACAATAAACGATTAGTTTTCATGTTTTCCAATGAAATCTATTGTGTATAGTGATGAAAATCGGAAATTTACTTTTCCTCAACCTCAACCTCACCCTCACCTTTACCCATTATGCCTTCCCCACCGTGATGTATGAAAGTTCCACTTTGTTTATGCTCGCACCATTTACGTAAGTTTCGCAAAGAGTTAATTAATAGAGTTGTTTTCTCGCCCGCTGAAACACATGTTGTGGTGCGGTGCGCGCGCGCGCATTTTCTTTGTTCGAGTATTCGCACCTCGCGCGCACAACATATACAAAGTGATTGCGAATGCCCCGCTAATCAATTAACGAATCCAATTATAATGTTTGTTTAATTATAAACGCATTCGCGTGATTATCATTCGGCGTTCCGGAGATTAACAATGAATTATCCCTGCGCGCGCAACAAACTAACCCTTTCCAATTGATGAGCTTCCACCGGCGAAACCCTCCAGCAGACCCGCCAGACCTTTTCGCTGCTGTGTGCAGCTTGTGATATTTTGCTTTCAGGCTTTTGCTCTTGGCGTCGTGATGTAATAATTTACAGATTTGCCACCGACACACACACATTTATCCATACTGGAAGTACTTGTACTAGTGTTCAGGTGTTCGGGCGTCGGCGCGAAAAGCGAATTAAACACATCTCTCCTGCGTAGGTGTGCGTGCTCCAGCAGCAGCTACCTGTAACACGGGGGCGGGCGCATCCTCCTACCCCTCTTGCACGCTTTTCTCCGCGTTGCTGTGGCGCTGGGTGACAGGGCGGATGCGTGTGACAGTCGTTATACCAGTCATCCAGGGGATGAGGCGGATCGGGGCTTCACTTTTACCTATACAAGCCTAATACTTTTACAACTTGCGGTGTATGCGTATGAGGTATTAACTTGTTTATTGATTTGTAGCTTGTTAAATGTTTAAATATCACACGCACGATAATGTTATTTTGACGCGCAAAGTTTTAATTGAATGCTAGAAATAGATAGAAATGAAATTTTTGCACGATAATGCGTTTCGAAATTGATTAATCACTGGAATCGGCGAAGGTATTGCCGAAATTTCCGATAATCCGCGCAGATATCTCTATAAATCACTGTCGTGCAAGTAGCCCAGCGGCGCAATATCATAGATCTTGTTATGGTGTTTTTTCGTTTCGATTCGTTTCGGGCGCAAGCGAAGCGATTTTTTCGATTTAAGGGCTTCATTTCTCTGCTCGAATTATTTTTCCGCAGGTATCATGTTCATTCCAATATCGCAACAGGCCGAAATCATTTTTCTACTATTTTTTGCAATAAAATAATATTATTTCACAAGATAAACATAAAATAATCATCAAAACATCATACAAAAAATAAAAAATTTAAAAAAAACTCAATTCTATCAAAAGAAAACGCTAAAATTTCTTAGTTTTAGTTCTCACGTTTTTTACCTTGCAACGTTTTTGTGTACAAAAGTAGTTTTAGTGTCAATGTACGAACTGCAGCTCGGTACACATCCGGAACGAAAGAATTTGAAACAAAGAAAAGCAACAAACGCAACGCTGTAAGTTGTAAGTAACTCCGAGTGCATTGTCTGAATTAATTACGCGTTATTAAAAGAATATCATTCAAAAATATCGCTCTGCATTAAAACAAACGCGATTTATTATAGTTAATAAATAAAAAATGTGTTTGGGCTGGTATAGAGGAGGTGGGTCATTATTGAGTGCGTGTTGTTGCATAACTACGGCGCAGTTTTGCGCCGCAGCGCGCTAATGACTCGAATATTTCACTCGAATTCGGCCGAGTGCTGCGATTCGCATCGGCATCGAATAGAGAATTTTTGCGCGCATTTGCCAGCGCGGCCCGGCACACATTATCGCGCATCGCGTGACCTTGGCAGCCGACGCGTGCACGAGTTGTCCTTACACCAGGCTAATGCCCCCGCTCGGCCTGCGAATAGATAGCTCGATAGAACGCGCGCGTTACCCGCACACTTGGTGCAAAAATTTGCAAGCCTGCAGCCTAGGCTTCATTACGTCACCGCCGCCGCCACTAGAAAATTCGCATTTCATTTATAAACAACATCTGAGCGCTGAAAGAATGATGCCACTCAAGATGAGATGAGACTTTGACTCGCGCTGCGTGTCGTGCTATCACGCATGAGATGCGGATTCGCACAAACGTGATATCGCTGATATCAGCTTGAAGTGTGTGTGAGCGCGGCGCGAGGTCAACGCCCGCCGCGTTAGAAACGACAGCAGGAGTTGCAAGGACGAATCCCATATTACTAATCGATGTCGGCCGTTCGACAACGACGAAAGCCCCCGCGGCCCCAGCCGGAAAAAGTTACATAAATTTCATCGCCGACCGCCGGCGTCCTTGGCGAGCGCGGCACGGGGGCGGCGATAAAAGATTACAATTCCTTTTAGGGTTCTTGACCCGCCGCAACGCGCATTTCCCAGTGCCTCTCTCGCCGCCGCCCGCCGGAGCTGCTTATATATACATATTTTTTCCCTTTTTCGCAAACGTCGCCGCCAGCCGTCGGGGAGCGGCGGGGAAGTACACCGCCGGCAGTCGAAAATGTTCCGCGTTCGCTTTTGGTTCATTCGCCTCGCTTGTTTACCACGCTTAGCGAAACTTTCCCTGCTTAACTTCCTTGAAAAACAGTCCAAACGACTGGATCTAAGCCTACATACTTCCGCAGGACAACGCACGACGCACACTTGTAGCCGCTTACAAAGGATATACTCGTACCAGCAAATATCGCTGAAAAAAAAGAAGAGAAGAACACGATCTTTAATTCAGCGAGCACAGGAGATAATTTAGTATCGGCAAGGCGTCAACCCCTGCGCGCTAATTTTCCCCAACATTTACCCTCGTCCAAAGCCACGCGACGAGATAAGTAATTATTTTTTAATTTCGGTAACGTATGCGCATTTTTAAACCGCGCCGCATATAAACGTCTCGACCTATTTTCCTTTGCTTCCTGCCATTCGCCTATTTATAAAAAAGTGCAAAAACTATTTTTACAGCATCGCAAAATTTTACAGTTTCGCTTTCGGCGGAGGAAAACTGCTTACGTGTTTACGCTCGCCGAGGCGATAACAAAGTCATAAAGCATGCGTTTGGCACTATATTTTCCTCTCGCGCGCATGCAAATTTAATTAATCGCGCCAATTTAGCACTCTGCAAACAGCGCGGCGTCACCGTGCAGCGCTGAAAACAAGATAAATTTTTATCGCGCGACGCGCTTGTTTGCTTGCACAACGAAGTGCACGTGCAGTGTATTACGCAATTTGACAATAATACAATAATGGTAATCAGCCTGCAAGCGCGTGCATGCATCGTTCGGAAATGTTTGAGTGCTGCCTTGAGCATAACTACGGCGCAAAAATGCAGTGAAATGGCGATAGAAATATGAAAAATAGCTTTAACCCGCGATTTCGCTCGTGAATATCTAAAATATTGAAGTTGCTTCCGTACGCGTCTGTAGTCATAGAAGAAATAACAATGAAGTAGAATGGCGGGAAGTTTAAAATGGCTGAAAGTATAGTCTATGGAAGTATAGTGTACAGTCTCCATAGTGTAGTCAATTGGATTTGATGTTGACGTAGCTGTCTGTATTATCACACTGTATTACCGACAGCTACGTCAACATCAAATCCAATTGACTACACTATGGAGACTGTACACTATACTTCCATAGTATATACTTTCAGCCATTTTAAACTTCCCGCCATTCTACTTCATTGTTACTTCTTCTGTGACTACAGACGCGTACGGAAGCAACTTCATTATTTTAGATATTCGAGAGCGAAGCCGCGGATTAAAGCTAGTACTAAATA